TCTCTCTCTCTCTCACACACACACACACACACACACACACACACACACACACACACACACACACACACACACACACACACACACACACACACACACACACACACACACACACACACACACACACACACACACACAATATGCTTTCAAGTCAAACTCAATACTCCACCCAGTGGCCAATATGTAGCATTGCTATGTTGCCTGTATGTGGTGAAGACAGTTAAAACTAAAGGAAACATTTGAATAACTTACAGCATGCATAACACTTTTATATAAGACCAAAAAAAGTCCCTGAACAATATCAACATTTGGAAAATGATGTGAATTAAATATGACCTTCAAAGAAACAAAATAATTCTAATGGGGGATCTTACTAGTTGTATGACTTGACACAATTGGACCAAACAAACATATCAAGCTCCACATTAAAGCAAACTATTTAATCATTTAATCGACACCTATATAGCATATTTGTTTCATATGGGTTCTGCGGAGTTGAGTGAGAGCCAGGTGATGTAACCATCCCGAGGCAGCACATTTCTCAGTAATGACGTTCAGACTGATTTGTCCCGAGGCTACGGTAAGGGTTAACAGGACCAAATATCTTTCATAGCTACATCAGCGCGGCGCTGCGAGGCCTCGGGCTGAGCAGAGGAGCGAGCACCAGTATGAGTTACCGGTATGAGCATGATGTTTCCTGGGGGACCGGGGATCCCATCGGCTCCGTTAAGGCCTGGCCGCCCTGAAGGGCCCTGAGAGGAGACAGAGGAGAGGGGAACGTCAAGGGGAACAGGACGGGGGCTCACACACACACACACACACACACACACAGCGAACAGTCCTCACCAGCTCCCCAGCGTCTCCTCGAGGTCCCACTGATCCTGTGACTCCAAAGGGCCCGGTCTCTCCCTGCACAGAGAGAAAAACACATAAAAAGACAGCAGTTAGATTTAATTGAATATATTTATATATCTACCTCCTGGCATTAAAGTGTTAAATAAAAAAACTGCTTCAACTTTGCGCACTTGTAGAATGCACATGATATCCTATGATTGTATTTTATTAGCAGTAGATTAGTCTTTTATACGGTTTTGTGTAAACTTTATTGATATATACATTTTCTACTAGGTATATATTAACTGCTTATCTTTATTTCAATTTCATTTTTCACTTGGGTGCAATGACTTGGTAATCTGCTGCTGTTTTCCTACTTTGGGATCATTAAAGTCCATCGAATCTTATCTTAATTATTATATATTGAATAGCAATCTTCCACCTCTAAAGTCACTGCAGTTCATCTGTGCCCGACTCTCCCATATGCTACACAGGTGTTTGACCTGAATACTTAGAAACATGTGTTTAAACGGTTCATGTGATGCAGGACTCACTAACCTCTGGTCCTGGAGGCCCGGGGGGTCCTGTGATCTGCGTCCCCTGAAGACATTTCACAGAGTGTTGTTTGGTTAAGATGTAGGATCCAGACAGAAGGAGGGAAATACTCATATATGAGAGGCTAACAGGACTGATAAGACAGTGGAATTTAAATGCATATGAAAGGAATCCCTTCCTTAAATTCTCTATAAAAACAATTAGGGAATTGTCGTATACTTTGTTATAAGTTATTATCCCCAAAGGAGAATTCTTCTAGAGCAAAAATAAGATTAGAACACATAGACAACAAGACAGTACAGCGGTAGACCAAAGGTGCAGCGTGTATATGCCCTGAAATAAAAGACATCAATAAATAGGCAATATAAAAATGTTTAATTCGCAAATAAAAAAACAGAAAAACCATTAATGCAAAACTCATAAAACAAGTAATAACATATCCTGATCGTTAAACTTTAACATTGTAAAATATTGTTACACAATATTAAGAGGGTAGTAAAGTGGAAAAACTCGTTATTATTGATGGTATGTATATCGTCATATCATTTTTCGGTCCGGCTGTCCCCAAACCTCTTTAAAAAACTTAGAACATTTGGAGGTTTAAACTAATTGCTTGCAAAACTTTACATTTTTTTCTTTTATCTTAAATCAGGAAATATCTGGTCAGACCTGCACAGGATGTTTGGCACAATGTCTCGCCCTGTGTGGTTCTGTTTGTGTGTTTTTATGCCATTGTGTGTTTTTCTCACCGCTCCCAGAAAGCTTGGCTCTCCTTTCTCTCCTTTCTCCGGTATATTCTGACGAGAGGAGACGAATAAAGACACGTTAACAATAATGTCTCTACACAGGATGAAATGATGCGTAACTGCACAAACTCTAGGTGTGTGATAGTTGTAGTCGGTACCCGGGTGTTAAGAGAAATCTCCCGCTCCATCTCGGCGTGTCCGTAGCGGTCGTCGTATTCGTCTTCGTACTCGTACTCGTTCACCTGTTCATATTCCGTTGTGTTGTCGTAGTCTTCGTACTCCACGATCTGTCCGGCGAAGCGTCCGCAGAGACAGATGAATGAGGGTCAGAAAAAGACAAGAGGAAATTATAGAGACTAGAAAAAGTTTGTGCTCAGAGCCTCACCTCGTACTCGGTGTCATTAGGACCCGCTGTCGCCGTGGAAACAGAGCGGTCCTCATACAGGTCGCTGTAGTCAAACTCCTCAAACTCCTCCGCCACATGTTTCTTAGGCTTCCTCTCCACCTGAAGGCCATGGAAAGTCAAAGCAGAGACGGTGCATAATGTAAGCATGTGTTAGGTGTTGTTTACATACATGCAAATAATATTGATGTATTAATATAACTGATTAAAATGAAATGTCAGTGCTTGATAGAGTACTTTAATTAGCTTCAAACACTTTCCCCTGAAGAGCAGAGCCATATTGTTCATGTATTTAGTAAATGTATTTACTCTTATGCAATGTCACTTCAGTTTATTTATTATTGATACATTTTAAATTAATAGATTATTCTACCATGTATTTATTTAACTATTATAATGTTTTTTTTAATTCAGTTTTCTTTTTCTGTATGAAATAAATGTCATGTTGGGTTTCAACTAAGATAAATACCAAATTATATTAATAATAATTAAAATAACAATAAATATGTTTATTATTTAAAAATCGTTATCTTTCCTTCAATAAAAACATATATAAAATTATATTTAACTTAAAGAAAATGTTTAAACTGTATATGTGTGTATGAATGTAACTTATGTAAATGTGAGTTTGAGGACACAGAGGTTGCTTATTAAGATATCAGATTCATGAAGTAGTCCCATCAGGCTGAGTTACATTCAAAATAAAAACATGGCAAAGGCTGCACATGGTAAACTACAGCTCAGTCCTTTTTACTTTAAATTCTTCAGGATAGACTGTTTGAGCACTACAGCTTTATCAGAAGACACCCAGCACATGTGTCAAACTCAAGGCCCGGGGGCCAAATCAGGCCCGTGGTGGATTTAATTTCGGCCCGCAGGATAATTTCTAATTACTATTAGATCTGGCCCGCCGGTATATTGCACGCACACCTTCACTCCATCCTGAGGGTTTCCTCAGCTCAGAGCCTGAGCCCAAACATTGATGAACTTGCACCCAAGATGAGATGCCAAGTATCTGCTTGAACTAGCATCACAGAGCAGCACACTGAGTTTACATGGGCGACTGTGGCTGTGAGGGAGTGTGGTCGTCTTTCAACCAGAAGGTTGTGGGTTCGATCCCAGCCCATGCAGTCAACATGTCGATGTATCCTTGGGCAAGATACTTAACCCTGAGTTGCTCCCGATGGCATGGCCAACGGTGTGTGAATGTTAGGTCCTAGAGTAAGGTACACTGCTCTGTATGAATGGGTGTGAATGGGTGAATGACATGTAGTATGTAAAGCGCTTTGAGGGGTCTTAAAGACTGGATAAAGCGCTATATAAGTACAG